GGAATGGACTAAGTTCGAATTCTGATTCATGACTATAACATGTGATGTTGGTCAGCACTCCAGGATTATATATACATAGTTTACTTGATAAAGGCATACGTTTGAAAGACTTAAATTAGTCTTAGAGATAGGGATCTCTAAGATTGTTCAACCAATTTTAAGAAATGTATAGAGGACTCAGGACTTTATGTTATAGCACAGTATCCCATTCAGTAATCAGTTGGCAACTAGTTGATTGTTATTCTTTTCAATTATTATCGTCTTCCTTCTTTAAGGAATCATCCAGATGGCAATTTGAAAAGTAACATTTCATCTTATTGTTGTCCATCCAGAGTGTAGTATCCATGTATAATGAATATAATTACTATGAATCTTACAAAATGTATAACTTGTTGACATTCAGTCATCAGGATTTGTTTACAAACTTCTCTAGATTAAATAGTCAAACCAAAACATGGTACCAATCCATAAAATCACTAACTTCTAGTCTGAACCATGTTGGTAGATGCAGACTACTTGGTTTGAGTCCGCGTGACTATCGTAACCAATGGTTGGAGACTCTTGGTGACATGGCTCAGAATCGATCACAATGGCGTAGGTGTTCACACTCTTTGTCTTCCCTTACACCATGAGATTAAAATTACTTGATATCTTTCTTTCTATATCCTTATAAACAATATTCCTTTTATATATTAATATCCTTGAAGTGACTACTTCTATGAATTTGATGTTCATCTTGTTGTGTTATTGAGGTGTGTTTTGCGCACTAGAATCGCTGGTTATGGTGACACTTGAAAAGGAAGCCGAAAGAGGAAGTTTCGGATTGAAAGTCGATGTAGGAGGAATAATACGAATTAAAGAGTGAGGTTGATTATGAATGCAATGGTCTTGAGTGCTGTTACAAGTATTGTTAGGGATGGGGATGGTTGGATGAAAGTTAGAGGCGGTCAAACCAAAACATGGCATCAGTCCATGAAGTCATTAACTTCTAGTATAGGCCATGTTGTTGGTAGATGCAGACTACTCGGTTGAGGTCCGCATGACTAATGTAACCAATGGTTGGAGACTCTTGGTGACATGGCTCAGAATCGAACACAATGGCGTTGGTGCATACACTTTCTGTCTTCCCTTGAACTACGAGATTAAAATCCCTTCATATTTTTCATTCCATCAACTAATTCTTTCTAAGCAAAGATGGATAGTGGCTAGCAGTGGAATCCAGGACGCGCGTTTCGTCCTGTTTGGGATTCGTCAGCTGGATGTACCTGCATCTTCTTCCTGTACTATATCCCTATATGCAATCTTTCTTTCATATATTACCACCATTGAATTAACTACTTCTATGAATTTGGTGTCCATCTTGTTGTGTTAATGAGGTATGGCAACTTGAACCGGTACATCTATGTGTCTGGTTCTACATTGTAGCTGACTGACTGACCAGAGTAAATAAACTTTTAACATTCAATATTGTAAGCCAAAAAAATACTAATAGTGCCACAGAATGATAACACTTTGAATAGAATGATTTTTAGCTACACACACAAACATACAGCTTTCACTATATAACCACTGGTTAAAAACAAAAAAAGAAAACACATTCCCTCACACACACACACATACATTTTACGTAGTTTAACTAGAGATTATTATCAATGTCACAGGTTACATTCTACCTTAGGTACTACTAGTAGTATATATTACATACATATTAAGAGACATTATAAAGCATAGAAAGATAGATAGATAAATAAAACAAGCCAGCAACAATACAACTATGAACTACTGTCGGTGTTGACAAACAAACAAAAAAAGAGAGAAGTACTTAAAGTACTAATATCATTCAATGAAACTTTCTCAATACTCATATAAAAACATACTTATACTGACAATAATAATAAATGAATGTGTATACACCTACTGTAATCTATACACAAGTAGATACAGGTAGAAAGAAGCATGAATAGACTCTCTTCTCTTTTTTTTAGTTTAACGACCAATATTGATTTATTATCATGATTACATTTACATTTTTCTTCGAAAAAAAAAAAAAAAAAGGAAAGAGAAAAGAGAAAAAGAAAAGAAAAACAAATGACATTTAATACTTTTTTTTTCTTCTTCTTTTCGGCTACTTTCCTTTATCTTTTTGAATAGTTATAAACGTTATACAAATACAATAGTTATTTACATACATATTTTCTTTGATAAACTAAGGTAAGGTGAGGGTTGAGAATGGGGAGTTGGGACAGATAACTGTTGGTATATAAGAGAGGGAGGGAGGGATGGAGGACGATAGTAAGTAGTATAAGAGTAGTATTGATATAAGAATATATTGCTTCTTTTCTTCTTTTTTCGATAGAAAAAAAAACATCTTAGAAACAAAATAATTTATCTTAAAATTTTGATAAATTCATGTTTTCATTATTACTTGACGGTACGCGTTTAGTGTGATGATACACATACCTACACACATACACACACACACACACAAACACTTATTACTACTATCATCTCGGTTGTCATAGTAATCATTCTAGTATAACACATAACAGATAGATAGATAGATCTATGCTTATGGATACAAAACGACTACCATAGAAAGATTAATTTTTGTTTTCATAAAACCAAACAGAAAGAAATCTATTTAACTATCAATTATTCATGTTATATGAGAAAATGGTTCAGTATATTTATACTATTGACTTGGCATCAAAACGAATGAGATTAATGTTGAAGTTTACTTGATTTTATAGACAATGATATTTATGTATTATGTATTAACAATACAGTTAGTTAGAAGAGAGGATGATTGAAAACTAGATAGTAGTTAGTTGAATCTTATTAGAGTAATGAGAATGGTTATCACTAGATGATTGCTTATATCCCTCCTCTTTGAGGGATCTAACTGACTAACTTAAAAGGGGTCTTGGTAACCTGGGAGCATAAACAAACAGTTATCAATGTGCTTTGTCGTACATTAAAAGATTTACTATTAGTAGTTGAAATCTATGGGACGAGATGAGGTGTACTGTTTCTAAAGTCAACCTTTATGAAAGCCTTCTTTCTGTTCCAGGGAGATAGTATCGCTGCAAATACTAGTTGTCTATAAAGTTGTCACATCATAATACAGCTGGTAATAAGACTTTGTGTTTGGATTACGAGTTTGCGGTTTTTAGACTTACAGCTTTCCATCCAAACTACTTGGTATGGTAGGAACACTCCAGCCAATAATATAACTCTATCGACTCATCACGATATACAGTCCCGACCACCATACCAAGATATTAGCTACGGTCGGTAAATAGTTCTAGTCAGTTGCTTTATTCTAGTTTAGAACTCCACAACAGTGTACATCCATCATCGAATGTAGAATCAAAGTTAGGAGATCGTTTGATTTCGTCGTTGTGATCTTCATACGTTTAGGACAACAGGTTGGATTTGAAGGAGTCTGTCTATCTGTATTATTACCAAAATGTTTGAACTCATCCAGCCAAAGCTACTCACTCAAACTTCACAGATACAATTCGAAGTTAGCCATTGCAAATGTGAACCCATTGTGTTCTATTAAGGAAAGGTGTTTTTGTAAAGATTAGTTAGATTGAAATAAAGATCATTTGGGTTCGGAATTAATATGGTTTAAAAGTATCATGCTCATAACAACGATAGTTCTGAAAACGTCCCTGAATGCCCTGGTACGGCTGGGGATGCAGAGAGTTAGCTCTCTCTCTCCAAATGCTCTCACATGGCAACGTGCATACAAACACTATCAGGGAAGTCCTACTCACTGTCTTCTTGCGGCATTATTGTTACTTACGAATTTGAGAGGACGAAAACCGAATGTCCGGCACCGGTTTTAACCGGGTTACTGGATATGGAGGATCTATCTAGGGCAGTTGGAAATCCCTTATTCCAAAACAATGGTGCACATGGGTTCCAGGATTCTGAAGAAACAAATGGTGTACGAACCAATCGTTGGTCACCGGCCACTATGTGACTGCATCTCCATACGTTGCTCCACTGCCTTATGGATTAGACCTTTAAGTTGAAGACTCGAGGAGTGGCCTCTTAATAAAACCACCTGTTTCGGTTTGGTCACCCGGGTAGTATCACAGTTGACACACAAATCAAGTGACTTGTGTGACGTATGATGTATTCGGTGCCCCTTTGTACCAATATTTATATATTCAAATAAATAAATAAAATAATTCTGAACATCTTGGTTTAATATACAATGATGAAATAATTGTTCAATGTGTACCCTGATTTCTGAAGATTCCTCCAAGTACCATCGATTTGCATAATGAAAGTTACCCTTATAATTAATCTGAATCTCAAACCCAAATGTAAAGATAGGAAATTTTTTTGAAATCAACAAGTTATATATTAAGCAAAAATAATTGCAATGGTTAAGATCATGAGTCAATTGAAGCTAGACCATTATGGAAAACCTGGAAGTACTGGACGGCCGTTTCGTCCTATTGTGGGATTCCTCAGTGGCAATGCGCATCCACGACCTCGCCTTAGATCTCGCACCCGAACGCTTAATGTCTAGACCACTAAGCCGGTATCCAACAATGTTAATGTCTAACTTCAACTAATCCACGAAATTGAGAGACACATCCACCATTGTCTTCCGCAAGTTACTATCTCACAACAGACCCGGTTGAACTCCACTGGCCACTACTTCTCACTAGAACTCCATGAAATACCTCTTGGAGTTCATCAGTATTGAGCATATATTGATTAATATCAGAAGGGATTTTTGTGGATATTATAGTCATTTTAAAAATAATTCAAAAATAATTGTCGATGTTCAGTGAATCCCAGTATGAAGCTAGTGAGACATACGACTTGAATTAAAATCACCTCTTTGTGTGTGTGTGTGTGTGCATGCATAGGGGTGGGGAAGTGGAAATAAAACAATGTTTACGTTTGGTTGTTATAATATTTTTACAAACACATACGTAATCATTTGTTTGTTTGTTTTATTTCCCTCTTATACA